ATGATATAAATTCTTATTTAACTTTATCTTTTAATATATAATTTATTGACTACTTTCCCCTCTTTCATTTAATTTATTAATAGTGTTAAATACTGAAATAAGTTTTGATGAAACAAAACCCGTATAAGCGCAAAATTGCCACCAATAGGTTATTAAGAGCAACGGTTTTTGTATCACAAAAAAACCTGAAATAACATCAACCAAATGTGGTAAAACAGAAATTACCCTTGCGAGAAGGTTAGTTTATTAAGAAAAATATTTCTCGCAAGTCTGCTCTTACAAGGGACAATCATCTCAAAATGGTGAATATACTTTGATTTTGGTGAACAGAACAGAACAGAACGGTAACTTTTACTGGTATATAAAAGGTTTATAAGCCTTAGTAGCTCGCAGCTAGCAAAGCTATTCTGGACGGATTACTATTACTCTAAGAATATGATCGACTTTAATTAACAGAGAGAATAAGAGAAAAGGGGAAATTAAAGAAATATGAGTAAATAATCAAATATTATATCCCCTAAAACGACTACGTACTACATGTAAGTGCTATGGCTAATTTGAGGAAAAATCGTTTTCCTGTAAATTATAGGCTTATTATGGATAACACAAAATCTAGTCAAATAAATTACTTTATATTTTAAGGAATTCTAGGGGAAGGTCAATCCTGAAAATCTTTATTTGCATTTATTCACTCAGATTAAACAACAGCTAAAATATTAAATTAAATACGGAAATTGACATATTTACTTCATAGAAATGTCAACAGTAATACAAGTATATAGTTAAAAAAATCTCCACTGTAACCCTATGAGCAGCTGAGCCAAAATCAAATTGAAATCAGTCATGTGAATGCCAATACTTGTTATCTAAATTTTAGATCTTTGAAAAATCCAACTACAAAACTGAAACATAATTCTGGTATGTCACCAAATTCAGCTGAAGTGTATGTGTCAAACCAGAGCCATCTAAAATCTACAGAGGAACAATCATACCATGTAACTCTAGCATGATGTTGATACAGACATAGTTAATCATAATTTGTGTACAACAGCCTCTGATAGCAATAAGTTCAAGAAAAGTGCAACAATTAAAGCAGGCCTAAAACAATTATTACTGCTTCAAGAGCAGAAAAAAGTGCCTTTTTCTTCCAGGCTTATTAGAATCTAATTAGGAAGCTAACAACCTTTTTATGCTTCCCCTGCCATGTTAATGTCGATAAAAAGAAATTAATCCTGGGTTAGCAAATCTTGCCACTGACTTGCTCATGGGGAAACATGCAAATATTGTTTACAACAGGAATATTATTTAGCAACTGTAGTAAACAATCTGAATGCCCACAATAACACAGTGCAAAACTATTTACAGGTGTGGAATATCTATACAGTATGTATAGGACTGCATCACCATGAACATGCAAACAATGAATGTGTGATGATTTGACGTCAAATTGAATGGTCTGCTCATCTTATATGTACATCACAGTGGAAGGTTTGCCTGCAAAAATAAAGCAAAATATAAATTGTGTTGACCTCTATGGCCAATTTAGACAATTCACCTTTGTCGCATGCCACAGTCTACTTAATGTATATTATATTATTGATTTTAATAATAATTAACGCACATACAGCTAATGCCATCATGAAAAAAACTTGCCTACAACTCTAAACATAGAATGCTATGGGAGTTGACAGCTTTTAAAACATGACTTGATACTCCACAACATTGAAACCAGTCAACACTGAAACTCAAAAAGTTCACATATCTCTGAAAACCATTACAAGCAGCTCTACAATATTCTCATTCAACACAAGAATCTGGCTCATGTACCTTTTTATTATAATTCTGTTTCACTGGTCTCCCTTTGATCATTCCATAAAGCACGCAAGTGATCACCATAACAAACAAGAAGTAACTGGAGTACTGAAGCCTTAGGTTGACTGCTGAAGCATCAACCTGAAAAGAAAATGTCCAATTAATTTTGACCTGTTGCTTTCTAGAGTTGGTTCTCCTTTGTACGGTTATATGCAGAAAAAATCCACATTCCTGTAAGGACACCAAAATGGCCACCCCGCTTGATTTTTGTAGGGGCATGTCACTGCCAGTAAACTGGTACCATTGCTACTGTTACATGTGATGATGAACATGTGAGCATTTGAGCAGGCCATGAGAGCTTGTCTTTGCAATGGGTCTTTCTTTCCATTCAGTCGCTGTAGGCTTTGCTATTTTGTGCTCTCAGCGTTGGATTTTGTTGAATTCAAACGGTTCTACGGTAGCATTTATTGATATCTGAGAGAATTGTCCTTGTTAATTTTATATTTTCACAAACATAACTTTGAATCACCTTGGCTTTAGGATGTTAACCATGGGTAACAACTATATTTCATTGCCTGTAATTTGATTGCATTTGATTAGTTCCAATCGCGACAGATAGCTCAATCTTTATCTGGTCGAATATTGCTTGGAATCGGTGGAAAAGTACTCTGAAGGCAAGATCCATAAAAGTGAGCCTGAACCAAGGAACGGCAATGTAATTACTGTCTACTTTGTTCACCAGGGGAAACACACTTGAATCAGTCACATGGAGTTTGTTTCTGATTTATGGAAACGAGCATGTGATTGCAAAATGTGTTTGCTTATATTTTGTGCTTCCAGCTTAGAATAATGTACCTAAAAAATATACTTTTATAAATTAGCTTTTAAGCTCAAACATTACTAGTTAATGTGAGAATATTTAGCATGAAATTTGAAGGTTACTGTAAATATTGTAGTTCTTTTAAACTTGGGAGTCAACAGAAACTGGTGCCGTCACGCAACGTACATGTATCAAGACACTATACTGAATGATAAATCTGACTGTAAAACCTCCGTTGTTGATGAAAAATGTTGATTTTAGCAACAGACTGAGGTTGAAAGTCAGCTAGTGAAACTATTTGTTCAAGATATATATATTAAAGTTACGGCATCAAACACATTCTCATAATCTTTGATTACTAATAGTATTTAAGTATTGTTTCTTTAACATTTGCGACTTTTTGTTTTAATCTTTTATTTATGTAGAACTGTTCAAGCAGTGGTGTTTTCAAAAACTGAAGGCATAAAAACCTGGACTACTAGTTTTTTGTGACACTTCAAAGGTCACTGCTCTCTTGGCTCATTTCTACCAAAACTTGCAGATTCTAAACTGCCAGGAGCTTTACTTACAGATTGTAATATCATGGCTTACCAAGGTCATTGTCGCAGTTGTAGTATGCTGGTTGTTCACAGGCACACTTGTTTCAACCTTTATTCCGGTGGAACACAGTTTCCTTTCTTGTTCCACTGTTCTTGCATGTGTCGCAATGACCACCATTTGTGCAATGTTTATGTTGCTAACAGATGTCGCGTTGCAAGTGCTTCTGGACCTAAAGACAGACAAACAATCTTAAATTTTGGGAGAGAGAGAACAATGAAAATTGAAAACACAAAGCATCTCTGCCAATATATCATGAAACAAGAGAAACACGATCAAATATTTATTCAAACAACAGTCTAAATTCTGAACAAATTTCCTTACATAAAATCAAATATCTCTACACTCTTGAAATTTCCCAGCATCATAAGACCGAGTACTGCGGTAGAAAAACTGTAGATCATTTCTCTTGCAAGGTAAGTGTTTTGTTATACCCCAGGACTAAACAAAACATCAAATCTCCTTTTCAAAGATACCGTCTATCTGACCAACACACTTTCATAGAAATTTGCTGTTGCGTTAAGGCACAAAAGACAGCATGCATCCACTGGCGTTATGAGATGACATAATGATAATCGAGGCTCAAACCTTCAGCATTTGCCAATCCAGTTGAACCCAAAGAAGTTACACAGTCTCAGATACTGATGAGTGTAGAAATCAAATACTGTCCAGTCTACTAAATATTATTAATTTAATGGTGTTTTGAGACAGAGTGGTACAAGGTAATCTACATGTACCCTCTGACCTATCAGAGGAAGAGGCTTTTACAGTTCACAAATGTTTATCTGCCTGAGGTTTGGGGGAGAGGAATTTTCTTGTGTGAAGTCGGACAATAACACACTACAGTTTCCTTTAAAAGATTTACTTACAAGTGATCTGGGACGATATCAGTCGGTACAGTAACTGATCCGCATGCCTCCAGGTACTTTGATAAGCATTTATTTTTATGGCAGTCTGTAGAATAAGCACATTCACATGTTAACATTTTAAAAGATTGCAATAATTTTGAAATGATGACCCTTCTTGAGAAAAACAAGTGACGATTGGCATTATTTAATCTCCACCTTAGTACACATTTATTAAAATTGTCATTTTAGATTGAGAAATTAAGAAATAGGGAGGAAACTCTACTTTGGGCACACCTCCTCTGAAGGAACACTACTGCTCTGGCAAAATGCATGTTCATGTAAATCTTTGTATCTAGTACTAAGATGAATTTCTTAATTCAAGAAGTGAACATGCAATAACATATCACCCTAAATAATAACTACTTTGCTCGGAAAGAAGACATGACTTTTCAATACAAAGAATTCCTAAGTTGCCAAAGTTAAAGAAATCCACACCCTGAGTTTAACATGGAACAGAAGCTTAGGGAAGATTGTCTAGTCAGTCTGTTAAATACAGGTTTACTAATCAAGAAATAACTTGTAAGCAAGGTGTGCATGAGAAATGAATCTTTGTGTATGAGATTATGCATGATGTGTGAGTGTACGGGTCTATTTGTCACATAATTGATCCACAATCATGTAGGTGTCCAATTACAGTTATCAGATAATTTGCAACTTTTTGCAATTGGATACCTGTAATTGATACCTATGCCGTTTGCACATCAATGAGCTTTAATCCTCTGTAGGAAAAAGATGGCGACTGGTACATTTACCCATAGTTCTTAGCACATGAAAACCTAAACAATGTTCATAAAAACGTAGAAAGGTTATAAAATCTTTGAACCTAGGCTACTTAATATCCTTAGTACAGGGACAAATATTGTAATTATAAGGCTGTCTTCGTGCCTTTTGGGCTGTGTTAGGTTCGCGAGGCATTGTGGTAAAATGTACAGCCGCCATCTTTTTTCCTACAGTAGATTGCTTCCTTCTTACTGTTTCTTAATAAATAATTTTTTTAACCTCTGGAAGGTGCTTATGACTTTTTCCCTCAAAAAAAGTTCTGAAGGATATTTTTTTTTTTTTGATATGCTTATTACTAATTGGACTGAGTAGAACACAATTCAGTGAGTATATAATTTTTTTAACCTCTGGAAGGTGCTTATGACTTTTTCCCTCAAAAAAAGTTCTGAAGGATATTTTTTTCATTTTGATATGCTTATTACTAATTGGACTGAGTACAACACAATTCAGTGAGTATTCATGCTTGTAATATCAAATCATCCTTATGATGCACACTCTTCTGATATTAATATAACTCACCTGATTGCTGCCTAAAATGTACTCCACTCGGTCCAGTTACTAGTATTTTAACAATTATTCCATGAGCATGCATTGGATGTGAGATGATACTGTAGATAGCCAACGAGGCCCATTGCGTCAAGTTGGCTATAATCATCTCATGTCCAAGAAGCACAAGTGGAATAACTGTTTTATTAAGATGTCCCAAAAATATAGAAAATTAAACTTAAATAAAAATAAAAACACCCCAAAAAAATCACACATACGCTTAACCATATTTGGCTAAGCCAGTGAAAATGCTTGAATTGCATAACGATCCAGTTTCTTAATGTTATTAGACAAAAATCATACACCTACCCAGGAATGATGGTTGAAGAAAAAACAATGTGATGTTGACAACAAAGTTCTCCGGGAGACCTGATTAAGGAAGCAACATAAATTATTGTAAATTGATTAAATAATCAACTGGCATAATTGCAGATTAATAAATAAGGATGTTTGTTGTCTTTATCAGCTTCATTTTGAAACAAAGAAAAATAGATAACACAGGTTATATTAGGTATCTACTTCGAAAATAATTGACCATTTTCCCATATAAGTACCCATAATGATTTCTTTCAGGAAGGACTAAAACTTATACATTAATAGCAGTGCTTGAACTGTCCTATAACATTACTGTCCATTCTTCTAGCTCTTTCCTTCAGTACTCCGTCCTTCTACTCCCATGTTTTTTTTATGTTCACTCAAACAAGATGGAGGCTAACTCGATAACCTCGCGGTTCAATTAGCCTCCATGCACAAACTATATACACCATTGTCACCTTTAATTGTTATATATGTATCTTATTTTCTTTTTATGCTAATATTATAATTTCAAAATGTAAGTGCAAAATAAAGTGAAGTTGAAGTTGAAGTTACAAGGCGGTAGCTTCTACAGATCTCCCTCTTTCTTTCAGAATTCTATAGCCCAAGCCAAACGATCACAACATGTCAACACAACACAGTGCAACATTGTTGGGGGCAACATATTGTGCAAGTTTGGCCACCCTGTTAAGATGTGTTGCGATGTGTTGCAAAATGTTGGGTGTTGGTGGCTCAAATTTGACCAAGTTTAACTCAAGCCAACAATGTCCAACATGTCGCAAAAGGGTGGTCAAACATGCACAACATGTTGCACCCAGCAATGTTGCTACATGTTGCATTGAAATGTTGCAAATCGTTTGGCCGGGACTTAAGGTGATCTGTAGAATTAACACATTGGGCCCTGTGTAGCCTTATCTGGTCGTGTGAAAATCCCTGGTTACTAAAGAAACATCATGTATCAAAAAGAAACAAAGTTACAGACCTTTTAGACCAAGTTGCGTTGCTGGCATTTCTGCTGTAACATGAGTTACATTGTTGACCACTGCAGTAGAATCATCCGAAGGAAACACAGAAAGATGAAGCACTGGTATAGTCACAGTTGTAAACCCAGCAGGAGTAGGGCCAGTAACGTTGGTTGAGTTTACTTCAGTGACATTGGACAAAAAAGTTTGATTTTCAAAGATACAAAATTCAGAGGAACCCAAGTGATCTAAGAAAGAATGCCATTCCTATAACAACAAAGCAATATGTTAACAAATTCCTTAACTAAGAAAAAAAAATCACAATAGGCTGTGACAATAATGAGTGATATAAAAGCCATGTCAAATCTACTAGGAAAATACCCTCCAAGGATGCACATGCTCAAGAAGTGGGTTTCTAGAACTCTATTCTAAAGAAATACTTAGCTAACACAAGCTGTTGATTGTGTGAGCAAAGAGGATTCACATTTTGATTACCACAATAAACAAGTGACTTCTTTCTTTTTTCATTATTATTTTCATAAGAGTTATTAGATTCTTTTAAAAATCTATTAACTCTAATTATAACTTTTACTATTACTCCTATTATTAAAATACTTGATTCTGATTGGCTAAAAACAATTGCATTGTTCGTGTAACACAAGTGCAAGTTACAATGAATACTTCCGAAACCAGCACAGACACTCAAAGACTACCAACAGCCATCAAATCCTTCCAAAGAGAGCCAAAGGTAATTACATGTTTTCCAATCACTTCTGAAAATCACACGAACCCTTCCAAAGATCAGCGAATATCACCAGACTGTTTTTTGAACAACTCCAATAATCACCCAAAACCCTTCCGAAGATTACCAAAGTTTTCCGAGGATTGCTGATGATTGATGATCAGTTAAAGCTTGCCAAAGACTTTTGAAGATTGTTGGAAGTTTTCTGAATGTTCTAAGAAATGTTTGAAGATTATTGGAATACCAAACACACAGTTGGCAGCCTGCCTAAGGAAACACTGTGTAGAAAAAGACCTTAAATAGTATGTTTTCAAGTGTATTATTAACATGTAATCACAAAATTATTCTTGTGCAATTTGGAATAAATAAGCACTGGTAAATTTTTCAGACTACAAACTGCACTTGCTCTACACACTTGTGCAATTTTGTTAGCCTTTGAAAAATTTACTTGTGCTTGTTTACCATAAATCCTCAAATTAGCACCCCCCTCGAATAAGTGCCCCCTTCGAATAACCGCCCCTCCTATCGGCCGAAATTGAAAATAAGTACCTCATAATGAGACAACAAAGGATGTATAGTTTTTGTCATGTAGTATTAGATTTGTACATTGTTTCAGTTTGTGAACACGTTTAGTGAAAACATTGAACACATTAAGTACCAATGGTGCTGCGATGTAAACTTTAGGATTAGCTTTTTATTTCAATAAACAGCTTATGTTGGTGTTTATGCGCAGAGGATGTATTAAAAAAATGATAGTCAGGCCACGGTTTGGGAAATATTAAACAAGCACCCCCCTGGAATAAGCGCCCCCCCGTCTTTTCCTAAATTTGAAATAAGTGCCCCAGGCGCTAATTCGAGGATTTACGGTACTCCAAATTGCACTTGAAATCATGTAATTACCCATAAAAAACTTTTTAACCTTGAGAGAACTTGACAAAGCTGTGGAAAATGTGCCAGCAACTTGTGGTTTTGTTCTCCTAAACTTCTGCTCAGGTTTTTACAACTGACGTAAACTCAGGCAGAAACCCAGAACGTTTTTTGTTTCTTATAAATTTGAGGTAATAGACTGCAGAAGGACAATCAAAAGTAACAGGCCACGAGATTCACATTTCTAGTATTTTGATTAATAAAGCATTTTGCCTACCTCTTGCAATGTTCCCTATTTACACAAATTAATGATGATTCAATTTTCATGGTCCCTGTTAATTTTTCAAATTCTCCAATGCATCAAAGGATGGAATGATAAAAATTCCCATATAATAGGCGAAGTGAAAATAACGAGGCAAGTATACGAGGCAAAATAAGCACTTTTTTCCATATCGTATAAATTCAAGAACTGGACAATATTTAAACTCCCCACAAAGGCACTATCAATTCTTTAAAAATCCAGTGTCAATGTAAGTTAGAATGTAAGACATATAAGCTTACAGCCGGCCAGGTGAGGAGTGTACAAATTTATATTAACAGAACGAATACCAACTGCTACTTAAAATCATCCATTGCTACCTTCTTGTGGACATCGTCTGTGTTAAACCAGCCGTACATCTGAACGAAGTAGCCGAGAGAAAACAAACCAATGGCGAAAGCCGCTAGGCAGACAGTAAAAACAACACAAGGAGGACGGGAGGCAGCGAATCCAAACAAATTCTTGCAGCACTTGCAGTCGACCATCTTTTCGGAGTATTAAGTCGTTCCGTCTTCTTCAAAATAAAGCCTTCAAGAGAACAAAAAAACCTGCAGGTGTTATTTTGTCACAGGAAGTTTTGTACACGTAAGCTACCATTAAAGTTTGAACTGCATGAAGAGCTACACGTACAAACGGAACGCTTACGATTACCTAAGCCACTACAGGAGATAATGTATTAACGATTTTTGCGAGTTTCTACATCAAAGAAAACTTATTTCTGAGGGAAAATTACGGATTCAACCCACTGCACACATCAGCACAAGGCGCCATGTTAACTAGCTGACCTTGGTATCCTCGCCTCTATAATTACTTCAGAGAGGGAAAAGAAACTGGGAACTAGAACTATAAATAATAACAATAATCAAAACTTTTCATCCTACAGTACACTCCAGATTATTCAAATCTATTTTGCTGTGCTTTTTTGAGCGTGAAGTGAGCGAGAAAATAAAACAACAATGTCAAAAAAATGTCGACCAGTGTGCTTTGCCCGCCGTTTGTTATTATTATCATCCGGGAACTCGCTAAACGCACCAAGCGTTCAAAGCCCATCAGTTTCCGATCGCCCGAAATGCTACACTGTACAGCCGGAAAGACCTTTTATGCCTGGCGTGGCGTGAGGTTGCAAATTTTTAATTATCAAATCTATTTTTAGAAGAAGAAACTTGAGAAGACAATCACACGACAATCATGCTAAAAGAGTAAGGGACTGCTGTTCGTTGGGTTGTCTTCCTTGCATGAACTGGGAGGCACAAATATGAGAAATTCAATATTTTGCAAGAGATAGAAGCAGAATAAATTATAATTTGGGTGTGTTTGTGTACACTTGAGATCGAGGCCAAGCCACATGGCCATCAGACCTGTCCACGTGGTTTCCCCATCTTCGATTTCGATTGGATAATCTTCAAACAACTGTCAATCATTGCACGAAATTTTACGTTCCAGCACTTTCAGACCTTTTGTTCAGTTCATGTTGTTGTTAGTAGAAAGAGTGCACATGGAGTGAGCGACGGACGGTCGGGCGGGTTACGCTTTACTACCACAGATCGTTGGAAGAAATTGCCGAGTCTCGTTTGTTTGCGTGATGAGTTTGGACACGTTGCTAGAAGCCGCTAAGTTCCTGGAATCTTCCTCTAAAGGAACAACTAAGGATGATTCGGCGATCGCACGTGGTATGATCGAGTAGCCATGTGCAAATATTCTGTTGGTGCGAAGGCGCTCGCCTGTTTTGAAATCGGTTCCGCAATCACGACAATTTTCCGATGACCCTTTGCTTACTCTTTCTTTCCGCATTCTAGTTAACCATTCTACGTCTGTTCATACGGAGAGAAGGCGAGCCATTTCGGAATGCGAGCCTCTGGAAAGACGGCGAAGACCTGGAGGGTATGTTTCGTTGTCTTTCGCCTCGGACAGAAAATTGCTTGCAGTGTTTGTTCTTCTGGTAGACACTGAATCCATCTGTTTTGTCCTACAGGGCAGGAACAAGAGAAACGCACAACAAACTAGAGAAGAACAGGTTAGTGATACCATAGAAACAAGGGATTTTACGAGAACTAAATTTCAAGATATAAAATGCACGCAAAGCATATTCTGTTGTGGAACATGGCCGTTCTGTTATCTCGCTTGCGCCTTGCACATAAAACTGATGTCCTTTGACAGTTGAACTGAACCTTTTTCGTTGTCTCCTTTGGGCTGAAAACTGTAGTTTTCTCTTAGGTTGTGTGATTATTTGTCGTTAATTCGAGATGCTGCGTGATCTAGCGAAATTGTGTACATGCAGTACCGATGTGAAGATGCGAAAATCAAGCGCAAAGGTGAATTTATAATTGCTTATTGTATTTGCACATCCAGACGCGCGCACTTGAAAGAATGCTTCGATGTCCTGAAGAAAGAAGTCCCTTCCCTAGAGGACAAGAAAACGTCCAACTTGAATATCTTGCGAAGTGCGCTCAAGCACATTCAGGTGAGGGAGAGTTCGTGTATTTCTTTTTAATCGAAGATTGGTAGTACAGGATTTCGGAGGTGTCCATAGGTGTTATGTTAGGTAATTTGAATTTGAAAGGCTATTGAGCCTATTGTGCTAACTGAACAAGTTTAGGCAGAGCAAGCTGCTTGTCTCAGGTGATTTCACATCAACAAGTTAATGCAAGCGGGCATTTGGGCTTCAAGCGCACGACTAACTAAAGTAGAAATTCTATTCTCAGGCAGAAATCGAGCATTTAAGTTCTCATTAGAAATTGCCCAATAGCACTGAGTTAGAACTGCTCTTTCTACCGGCACAGGGACGCTGTATTGAACTGCAAATCTGCCGTACACCCACTCAGTAGAATATCAAATGTCCTACGTAGGCATTGATTCTTTGTTCTTGTGAATGGTTCAACAGATTTGTTCCGAAGGTAAATATCTCGTTTTGTTGTGGTCGGCATGGAATTTCAGGCCCACGCGAGTCACGAGTTAAGTTGTTTTTGTGTTTTGATTTTCACGGTCGAGTAATTTTTGCCTTTTTCGGTGTGGTGACTAATTGATGACTGAAAATTCGTCACATTTTCTGTTTAACGAAACATTTCGGTCTCCAGAACCCATTTGATTGCCATGAAAACCATTTCACGGCAAAAATTCAAGCCATTTAAATTCTAGAACTTGAAAAGGTTTATTTTTGAAGGAAGAAGTGTGATTCCTTGCTTCTTTATGGGAAATTCCAATACAGCCAATGTACAACTTTGGCACTGATCGATATTTTTATGTATACCGCTCAGAATGGAGCTGTACATTTGTATTACCTAACTGCAGGGTGGTTACCTATTACACTGACACAAGGAGATACTAGACAAAAGCTCTTCATCTGCCTTTGAAATGAACTTGGAAAGCAATGGCAGAAACCACAGAATGAAATGTTTGTAAGGTAGAGTTAAAACTCAGTTTACCATAGGCAAGTCCATGCAGCCAATCTTTAGAAATCTGAAGTTTTACGGTATTGTCCATAATTTCAGTACATGGCAACGATTGACTGAAATATTTTGTTCTGCAATGCAGTTGCCTCTCATTGTTTTATTAAGCGTGTGGCCATGGGCCGAGCGCACTTCATGTTCTACCCGTGGTTTATTTATTTATTTTTTTTTGTCGGTGATCTGACCCAAACTTCCTCTTGGCCAAATTAAATTTTGAATCACACAACCTGTGATGTTTATTCACCAAAAGCTGTTGAGACATTAATACACAGACAATGTTAATGTTACAGATACTATTTTCTTTATTTGTGTGCAAAATATATCTTCTTTTGGTTTTATCCAAGCGTTGGATTCGAAGGGAATAATAAAAACGCTAAAAAGGTATTGTGTCAGCCGTGGAATGCGCTGATGTTGCAGCTTTCACTTTCGCTAGGTGACAAATAAGATCGTGTTTACTTTGCAAGTTGATTTCACCAGAAGTGCCGGTCATTAATTTATTTGCAATTTTGCGAGTATTTCTTTTGGGTTTACTAAGGCAAATGAAGTGAATTCTTTGGCGGTTTCATCGCAGCGAGTTCAGAGATTGGAAGGAAAATTGAATATTTGCAAGCCAAGCAAAGAACGTGTCAGAATGTGCAAGGATTACGTCATTGGTAGGAAAATAACCACCATACTAAAGATAGCCGTGGATAACGTAATTCTTGGATTATGTGAGTTGTGTGACTACTTTGCTAGCCCTTTACTCATGGAAAAAAACAATTAAATTTAATCATGACTTTTAAGAAAGAAAGCTGTTGTTAATAGTGTTGTTATCGAAGTGTTTGTACCGTTAATGCCCATACATATCCGGAAGAAAGTTCCAGATTAAGACCATTACGTCTCGGAGATTTCACAACCGCTACAACTGATGGTGCAATAATACAGATTGTGTTGATCAAGTGATGTGGTGTCTACAGTAATCAGTGAATCATCAAGGACTGCTTTGAAATATGCACTACGTTGCAACTGTAGTGCTAAGAAAACAGTTAAATTTTAAAAGTGCAGTTATAAGATCTAAAAGATCTTCTTGTTGCAGTAGAACTGAGCCTGAACATGCTCTCTGTGCCTGCTGTAATTACAAGTTATACGGAATTAAAGAAAACAATAACTCCAACAGATAAAAATTAATTCAGATCTAAATAAGAATGAAATTTAGTTAACAGTGAACACTGTTTCCTTTTTGTGGTTTATTCTTGTATAAACAACAACAACAACAACAATAACTTTATTTGAGTGTCTAGTCTTCTAGCTAGCCTTAGGCTTACTAATTGGGGACACTGTTAAGATTAAAATATAATATAAGTATAAAACTATTCTGGTCTATTTACATTAAATTATACTACATTTTCGCACACTCTTTGTATTTACATGTAATTCCTACAGTTAAGATACTACTTTAGAATAGGGAATATCGAACCTATATTTCTAATACTTATAACTAGTGTTTACGGCTCAAGAGTTGCAAAGGTGACACCCTTTGCATGTGTTGCCTCCGACAAATCCACTGAGGTCCCTTTCCCTGATGTTCGCCTTAAATTGCTGCAAAGACATTTCTTTCTTGTCCCTATTGTCTAACTTCGACCACATCAATGGCCAGAGGAAANGCGTTTTGCTTTTGTGTAACACTTTCTCTATGCTTCTCTGTTTTTGTTTATTTGTGCCATGTTCTCTTGGTTAGTGTTTCCATACATGCCTCTTCCTTACTTCCTAGGTGTGCCTGATTTGTTACCATGTGTTAACCACTGTTTGAGTTCATTTTATCTTTGTGGGTCTTTTAGGGTTCTACTTTCTCCTGGTGCACGTTAGTTTGTCTCCAGTTGGTACATGTATCTATTTCAGACGAAAAGCTGGTACTCAGCTCTGATGTCCTGGTCTTTGAGTCAATCTACATTTTACCTGTGACCTGTCTTTATTTCACTTCAATGTGAATTCTTTCAACTTGAGACAACATTGCCAGGTTGTTGTCTGATTACAGCATAAGCTCTCCTCCTAGACCTCACATTCATAAGTTCAGACCATGTTTAAGACGGACTTGCCCTGTGAAGGGCAGCAAAGCCAAAAGTCATACCTTATTTGGCCATCACATCCCTGTAACGGGAAAAATTTCACAGTTTTATTCCACAAGTGTGCATCGGAAATGCACACTTGCTCACTGGCTATAACCTTCTCATATCCAACAAGCATGTGTGGGATAATTGTTTTTATTATTCAAAACTTCCCCAATGTACAGAAAACTAAAATGAAATAAAAATAAAACTGCTCCCATATTTGTAGAGCATGGTATTGTTTGTTCATATGCCGTTATGGCTAAGCCAGTGAAACCTCTTGAATAACATTATCCAATGAAGTGGTATTTAATAAAAGTGAATATCTCCTCAGGTCCTTGGCAGATTCCTCAAAAGACCTAAATAAAGGACATATGCAAGCTGATTCCTTTTAACTATTTTGGATTTAATGTTAATCAGCCATAATAAACATTTCCTTTCTTAACAAATGAAGATCTACAGTTTTGTAACTTAACATAACAAAATGGTAAGGAGAAGAACTAAGCAATGAATGTTGTTGACTGCTTGTATTTTTCCTCTTTTTGACACGAAAGCCTTACAGCTATGAAACCTATAGAATCATACAAAAAGCTGTGCATACTCTAGAGATAGTTCTATATTTGTCCGATATATTTGTGGTTCTCTTCTCTTGGTGATGTGGGGTATTTGTGAATACACCTTATTTATTTGTGTGTTGTGCATATAACAACAGTCAAGATAAGGTGTGGTTTCATACAATGTATTTCTTTTATGCGCTCATTATTTCTCTTTGTCATCATTTCACTTCTCCATTTCAACGCCACAACAAATATACGTCACTTGTCAAAATTTACTCTAATATGCTTTCATTTGATGTTAGTAGTATAGTAAGACCAAACTTCTTTGTGATGGGTGGAGTTTATTTTTAAACTTATGGATTGTTACGAATTTAGTGATTTCTGAAAACATCCCAATGTCCTTCGTGACAACAGCATCTTGCAAATAACTGTTATGAGGTTTAGCAGAGGTCTTGAGTTGTTACTTTAACATTTTTATAAAATCGCCTCCAAAGCACTGACTGCAAACTTAAACATCTAGCTTATCTATATGGTAGACGATATTTTATTGATGTACTCTAATACTCCTTACATCTCTTACTGTATGCAATAATTAGCTGCCCAATTTGTCTAACCCCACATGTTTTTTTAGGCAAGTAGTACCCAATTTCATAGTGTCTACTGAATTTTGTATGTTTTTCTTTCTTTGTGCTGTACAAATAAATGTTGTCATTGGTGTTGTTGTTAGCTTTTGCTAAAAACAAGTCTGATGTAGGTGGTCGTTCTGATGAAGGTCTTTCTATCATCTTTACCCCTATTAAGCAGCCTATCAAAATTGAATACACTAAGATTGGCTTTGTTTTAGAAAAGACGGTGAAAGATAAGAGTCTGAAATAGAGTTTGACGACTGAGTGATAAAAAATTCAAACACACGTGTATTACGATTGTCTTGACGTGAATACATGTTAACCCGATGGTGAGGGTGGCCACTAAATAGGGGTTCGACTGTAGATACTAACGGGGTAACAGATCCTTCGATGCCTGAAAATTTAAGAAGTAGTTTGAGTGGAGATTGATGTTTGTCTTCTTGTGATCACTTTCAAGGCCCTGAAAAAGCGTGAACGCGATTTTGAAGCTGAAAGAGACCTGTTGACGATCAGCAACAACTCTATCAAACAGCGGCTGTTGGTACTGAAGAAAGAGATAAACATTCAACAGGATCTGTACAAAGCGTCATCACCGCGAGAGTCGGGCACCACCAGGACTGCACAACCCCCAGGTGATTCATCTTCCGTCGAGTCTGCTGAGAAGTCGAGAAGCGTTGAAAGTCAAGCCTCGCCTGTTTCTGTGGCAACGCAGACGTCATTCACCTCAGGCGAGGAGTTTGACGCAGATGGCTCCACTGCCAAATTGGAAAGTGTTCAAGTCAAGGTTGAGAGCAACGGCGAAGTGGAGCACAGTGATGACGGGAAGGAGGAAGCATGCATCGATGATGAAGACGAAGATGTGGACGTGGAGGGCGAAATCACCGATGATAACACGGAGGATGTGGATTCTTTGATAAGGGATGACAAAACAATGAAGGCCAGAGTGGTGAAGAGCCCAGAGCCTGTTGCCTCGTCTGGTAAGCCCTCCGCAAACAAGAGGAAGGCAGCTAATGGTGATGATGGTAATAAATTAGAAGCCAAGAAGTCTAACATCCAGTGCTGTGCACGTGTCAGCTGTTAAGCGTGACACGTGTTAGGCTTGTGATGGGCTCAAGGTCAATCTCACTGTTAGCCAGTGATAAAGTATTTCATACCATGTATGGCTGTAAGGGGGTTGCGCAGTGATGGGTTAGATCTGCAGTGCAGGTCGCAAGGGTGTAATATAAAGCTTTATCTGTGACCATGGTAACTCTACCTGTGTGGATACGCTTTCTAGCGGTGTTAGCTCTATTGTAGCCTCGCTCCTTTTCCGCTGTTCATTTCGCTTGTCACAACACAGACAAGCCAAACAACGGCTAGGAAGGAGCTATCTCTATGATAGGTAAAAGAATTACTGCGTGTCGTTTGTTTCAAATAACTTAGAGAAAAAAAATGTGGTTTTAGTTTAGTCTACTTGACCATCTTGGCAGAACGCCGTGCACTAGGTTTAAAGTTCCAGTGTGAGGCACTCGAGAAACATTGGCGGATATGGCTAAGCACCTTTAAAATCGAGACCAATTTACTTAGCCAGCGCTCAGACCAGGGAAGTTCCCAGGTATCGTAACATAGTCAGTGGACGTCACTTTGCCGTAAACGACGGTCCGATATTTGGTAAGTGCTGAGTTCGTTTTACGAAGATAACAACAATACACGAAAATATTTCTGGCAAAACTAGTCTCTGTATTCCCGTCCGACCTGGCCGTTGAAAAACATAATTTTTTCCGTGCGCTGTTAGACAGTTGCGGGGTATGTTAAGGTTTGTTTTTTATTCATTTCAATGTACAAGTGACTGCCTCTGTTTTAGAATATAAACAACTTTTCGTAAACATTTATGATTGGTAAAGCGACCACAAAACGTCACCAAAAAAGGCTTTAACTTGAAAATTGACAGGAACGGAGTGATTCTATTTTCTATTCCTTTTTTTTCTTCGCCCAGGTTTACAGGATTTTGATTCGTCCTCCAGATCACCCTAGCGTGGGTAGTCTTTTTCTAGATCTTTCTCAAGTGTGGAAATCAAAGCACTTCCCAATTGTTCTCTTATCTGAGATCTGAGTTAGTGTTGAGATTACAGATAGCAGACCTGTATTTTATTCTCTGTTTTCTCGGTGTACGTATTGACGAATTACGAATGTCCGAAATTCGTGTTAACCAATCACAGCCAGTATTTCGAATTACGTCATCAGGGTGCATCATTTCGGACTCCTGTACGTCTCTCTTGTGAGGGATAACATGCGATTACGTCCTTGAAATCTGGCCGTTTCAATGCGATTGCCTTAAGGGGTATTGACAGCATATTGAACACTCTTAGTGAAAATATCAAAATAGCTGGTAATACTTGCAGAAAAAAGTTCGTTGGTTAAGATTCGGTCGTCATGCCAACCTTTGACTCCATTTTCCGAGGGTGTGAAAAACATCACTGGACTTGTCAGCTTATTTTGTTTGCCATCCATCCATCCAAAACAAAAAAATAATAACTAGGCTATTTTAATTCAGAGAGAATCTATGAAAAAAAAAAGTCTTTACATATGGCGTGGTAAAATATATATTCTTTTCACTCTCTGTGTGAACTTTTGAATGAACGCTTCTGAGCAATTCCTTTTTTTACGATAACTGCAGAAATTCTCGCGCGCTCACTGGCTAATTTTGATTGTCATTATGCGGACAGACACATAAATTTTTAATTTATGCGATGCGTCAGCGAGCGAGGGCGGACAATTTGACAATTTGTTATCGTAAAAAACAAATTACGTCAGTTTTTCATGCGTCTGTCCTGTTATTGACAATGAATTTCGTTATAACATAGTCAGAGTAGTCTGCGGATCTTTGACAATGTTATGACGAAATTCATGATCAATAACAGGACAGACGCATGAAAAACTGCCGTCAGTTTGTTAAATGTACTACAGTGTTTTACGCTATAAAAAGTGTTCTAAATTTTGGGTCTGGATCTAATCCATAGTAAAGTGGTATTGTCTGTTGTGTTGTGAAAGTTGGTTCTAACTTGTGGGTATGTGGATGAAATCCTAGTGTGTGACCATCATAACGAAAGCTATCGAGCAGTGCATTCCTATAATACTGTTCATCGCGCTGAACAAGGTTCTAACTTTTCTCTATATGCATGAACCCTAGTGTGTGACCATTCAGATTGTTTATTGTTTGTTACTGTTATACAAGGTGTTCTAACTTATATCTATGTGTCTAAAACCTTGGGCACTACCAGTAGTGAGGGGTTAATCCCGACTGTTGGTTTTAGAATAGATAAGAGCGTTTACAGTTGAGTGTCGTGAAGGTAAAACCGATGGGCCAGTTAAAACTAGGAGCAAAATACATGTAGCTGGCGCGACGCGCGGAAAAACGAGTTCGAGCGAGTCGCGATTAGTTTTGGTGTGACTTTTGATTGGATAGCGAAGTGGCGCGAATTTTCCAAACCAATCGGTTAAATTCGTAAGGAAAAAGCGAAGCAAATTAGAACAGGCCATTTCCGAATTACCTTTATCCTCTTTCTCAAAGTTAGTCTTCGTGCAAGATCTTTCATACGAAAATAAGTTTGATTTTCATGAAAATGAGCATGCGGGCGAAACACACCTTCGTATGAATGGCCCTGCACGGAGACTCTTTTGACACAGAGGCAATTAGTTTTGGTGTGACTTTTGATTGGATAGCGAAGTGGCGCGAATTTTCCAAACCAATCGGTTAAATTCGTAAGGAAAAAGCGAAGCAAATTAGAACAGGCCATTTCCGAATTACCTTTATCCTCTTTCTCAAAGTTAGTCTTCGTGCAAGATCTTTCATACGAAAATAAGTTTGATTTTCATGAAAATGAACATGCGGGCGAAACACACCTTCGTATGAATGGCCCTGCACGGAGACTCTTTTGACACAGAGGCAAAGAGTAACTAGAAAATAGCCTATTTGAATTACTTTTGACACTCAAGTGCAAATTGCTCTAAGTGACGTTAGATAGCTGAAATGATGTATTTATGCGATAGTATACTTCTGTGTACGGTTGCTGGAGGAAGTAGCGTGTGGTAGTAGCTACTGTGTAGCTTTAGCGGGGTCTGTACAAAGCAGATTGATTGTTGTGAATAAACAGGCCGTATCTGTCCATTTTAGGACAGTGTATTATACTTACGCTTGTATCTTGTGTCGTTACTCTCTTTCTCAAAGTGCAAACCCAACCTTCTCTTGTTCCCAGGATCTCTCTTGTGCGAAGAGGACATAGTGGGAACCGGGTTGGGAGAGCGCCGATCTCGTCTCATTACTCCGAATGAGAAGAGGGGTAACTCTCCTTAGGAAACTTGAGTAACTAGATGTTAACAAGTGTGAGGTCTGCAGTAGAGAGTTATTTGTCGAGTTCTTTTTTTGGACAGATTATGGACTTGGCCAAAGGCCAGCATTCCCCAAAACGGACCGAACTAGTTTAGTTCTTAGTTCTAGAGGGAAATGGTTAAGAAACCCGGAAAACATCAAGGAGGCAAACAAACAGGCTCATAGACTATGCATGAATTACATAATCGCAATGCATCTATTGGTTAGTTGTATGAAGACACATAACCATTAATTTTGCTAGGGTTTGTGCAGGGTCAACCCTCAAAATAGCCAACAAAAACATACAACAAAGAACTTTGCAGGTTTCTTAACTATTTCCCTCTGTTAACAATGTTTAGTTATGGCTCTTTCACACTGCTAAGAAGTAAGTGCATCCATTCTCCGTAAGCGTTCAAGCCAAAGGTAGACCTATACTTTTTGTGCAATGTGTTGAAAGAGCAAATCGAAACTAACTCCGTGTTAGCTACGAGTATCGCAAAATTCAGACCGCTCTGCAAACCATCAGAAGTCTCTCTTTCAACGTGGACCAGTCTTTCAGTTGGCCGTATATTTCCAGGAAGACGCATAAAGGCTGGTTTTCACTAGAGCATAAGCACAAGCA